AAAAAAAATACAGTGAAAATATTGAAATTAATACAATTTTAAATAACTTTTCCATTGTAATTTTAAAAAAATGTAATCTATACCTGTAATGGCAAAGCTGAATTTTCAGCAGTCATTACTCCAGTCTTCAGTGTTGCATGATCCTTAAGAAATCAATCTCATATGCTGATTTGGTGCTTAAGAAAACAGTGCTGTTGTGGAAATATTTTTTCATGATTCTTTAATGATTCTTTGAATAGAAAGTTGAAAGGAACAGCATTTATTCGAAATATAAATAATTAGTAACATTGTAAATGTCTGTACTGCATTTACTGCTTGATCAATTTTATGTGTTCTTGATGAATAAGTATTAATTTCTTTAAAAAAATTACTAACCCCAAACTTTTGAATGGTAGTGCTAAAAACAATATTAACAATTAAAATTTGGCCCTGTATGGCAGAGTTTTATACTAATAGTTAGCATTGTCTTTTATCCATCTACCATTGTCTCTTTCTCATTGATTATATTTCAGTCTTTTATAGCTTGCAAACATTTTTTTTCCATGATGTATTGAGTTTTGAACGTTGTTGCAAATTCATCTGGTTAAAATATGTTGCTATGGTAATGCAACACAAGCAAATATGCATGAGCATTTAAAATAGTTACCATGAAGAATGAATTATCATGTTATCGTTTGTAAGGACACAAGGAAAAAAAAATGTGGCACCAAAACGTCACTTTGAATCACAGCTCATTTGGGGTGATCGATTGAAATTTTTCCTCCGGTTCTCCGAAACGGATGTAAGAAGCATAATCACTGGCACCGCACGTGAAAAATAATTTCCCGACTGAGAAAATGCACGTGAACTCAAGTCGGAAAGACCAGTCAAATGCTTCCTTTTGTTATCTGTTGAGGCTTCTTGTCACAGAGTGAGGCAGAAAATATGTTCCATATGCTACTTTAAAAAGAATACATCTATTAGCAATAGATTATAAATTAGGGTGACCATACGTCCTCTTTTCCCCGGACAGGTCCTCTTTTTGGACCTACAAAAATGCGTCCGGCCGGGATTTCTTAATTGCCCAAAATGTCAGGGATTCGGCTTTTTTCTTAATCTAGCTCCCGCTGAATCTCTGACCATTGCCGCCTGCTCCCGCAACATGTTTCGCTCCCGCAATTTTCGTGTCCACTCCTTTAAACATTCTAATATTGTATATAATTTTGGCGCATCAGGGAGCCGCTCTCAGTATGCTGAGTATAAAATAGTATAAAATTATTTTGAATGAGCATTTGCGCTGTTTACTTTCACTTTCGATTTCGCGATCACATGCACTCTGTGTAAAGGGAGCACATCTTACAAGATCAGATTTTTGTCAATTAGCTCAGGATCTGTTGAGCAGCAAATACTCAAGCATGGTCTTGTCAGTCATCTCTCCTTATTCTCGACCTGTGATCAGTCAAAACTGACTCCTGCAGCTCTTGTTGGATGCAGGGTTGCCATGTCCGCGTTTTTTCCACAGAATTGGGCTACTTTTAAACTGTTGCCATGGGTTGATTTTCCCAAGTGGGTTAAAGGTTTGAAATATTGTATAAATTACATTTGACTGAAATGCTTGAATTGAAACATTCTGCATTCTACCTATGATAAAACTTTCATGGACTTCTACGTTAACTGTTCCCTCCTGGTGGAATGACCTGCCCAGCTCAATCCAAGAGTCCTTAATATTTTCAAGAAACGTCTAAAAACACATCTCTTTCATATTCATTTGACCCTCTAACTCTAGCACTCTCTATTCTAATGCTACTTCTAATTTTATCTGCTTGTTTTTTTTTTTAATTAAAAAAACTTGATCCTCTAAAATTTGCTCTCTCTATTCTATTTCTATTCTAACTACTTGTTTTATTTATAAAGAAAAATTTGCCTCTAACACTAGCATTGTCTTTTCTTTCGCTATTCTTTAATAAGTATTGGTTCAGGCACCAGAACCGTTTTAAAAGTATCGATTTGGCACCGGTATCGGAAAAAAAAAACGATACCTAACCCTACTGTGCAGTGATGTGAAGTTATATTAGGTCATAGTCTTGCTTTCTTATTCTGAGATTAAACCTATAAATGAGGGCTAACCTTTGAAGTCTTCATAAAGAATCTTTCAAATTGCTGGTGCTATAGATATTTTATGGGATTTAATTTTGCTTCAGGTATTGTAGGAATTGATGAACACAATAGATAAACTAGGTAATATAGTAAAATAATCTTTAATAATAATAATAAAAAACCTTGAACAAGTATATCAAGTTATGCAATTCATTGTTGAAAAACAAGATTAATGTTGATAAGTTATTTAATCAGAAAAACTCAACGTTTTGTTTAATGCTGGTTTTTAATAACAGTTTTAATGGGTTGCATCATGTAAAACATGTTTGCTCTATTTTTTAAATGGCCTCATAGAATTTAGATATGCATGATGAAAAGTATAACACTGCTTATTTGATGGTGTGAAAGTCAAATTAGGAAGGCTGAGCCAATCTAGTTCTTTCAGTTCTTTCATTAGGTTTCTCTGCTGAGTCCAATTTCTTTTCTTTCGCTATTCTTTAATAAGTATTGGTTCAGGCACCAGAACCGTTTTAAAAGTATCGATTTGGCACCGGTATCGGAAAAAAAAAACGATACCTAACCCTACTGTACAGTGATGTGAAGTTATATTAGGTCATAGTCTTGCTTTCTCATTCTGAGATTAAACCTATAAATGAGGGCTAACCTTTGAAGTCTTCATAAAGAATCTTTCAAATTGCTGGTGCTATAGATATTTTATGGGATTTAATTTTGCTTCAGGTATTGTAGGAATTGATGAACACAATAGATAATCTAGGTAATATAGTAAAATAATCTTTAATAATAATAAAAAAAACCTTGAACAAGTATATCAAGTTATGCAATTCATTGTTGAAAAACAAGATTAATGTTGATAAGTTATTTAATCAGAAAAACTCAACGTTTTGTTTAATGCTGGTTTTTAATAACAGTTTTAATGGGTTGCATCATGTAAAACATGTTTGCTCTATTTTTTAAATGGCCTCATAGAATTTAGATATGCATGATGAAAAGTATAACACTGCTTATTTGATGGTGTGAAAGTCAAATTAGGAAGGCTGAGCCAATCTAGTTCTTTCAGTTCTTTCATTAGGTTTCTCTGCTGAGTCCAATTATTTATAAATTTTTCCATGATCCCAGAGGAGTTATATACTTCGCTATTTATATTTGTTCTGCATACTGCAATTATGGTGGGCCAGGCTTCATTGTTTGTTTGGAAATCTTGGCATGTTACAAAATAAACAGCATAAAGGACCTCACCAAAACTGATTAGCAGATGCTCTTTCACCATTCCAGGTTTGTCGTACGCTAGTCACACGGTTGGTTTCACCCCTCCGGCGACGCTGAGCCGAGCACCACTCCCCCACTACACGTCTCCCGGGCTACACATCCACCCAGGGCCCTCGCACGGTGTACAGGTGCCTACACACACTATACACACGTCCAGCATGTATAAACACACTCACTCTCTGCTCAAGCTCATGTTGATGATGAGCAAGATGTTTACATGCAGGAAGCAGAGTGTATCATGGACAGCCTGTTTTTAGTTAAGATCCATTGTAATGCCATTCAGCTGAATTGAAAACAACACATTTGATGACTCATCTGTGAGTCCCCTGTGACACTTGACCTCAGAATGCTCTTCCTCATCCCCATTGTGCGTCTAATTTAATATAGACCTGTACCATGAATCCTCAGCCATCCAAATAAGATAACGCTCAAAAACTGCGTCCTGACTTTCTGTGTACCTTGCAGTGTATTCTGACCTGTTAGATGGAGAGATACTCCACCCAAACCTTGTCATCTTATCGATCACAAACAGAAAGGTGCCATGTGTTGTACTGTGTAAACGAGATATTAAGGTATATTACAATGCAGAAACCCAGATAAGATAAACTCACTGAACAAAATCGCCCAACGTGTGTTTGTGCATACAGGTAATGATGCCTACATTTTTTATTTTAAATTTGCACAAGTTTCACCCTTTAAATTCACGTTTCTCAAGGAATGTTTCCAAAAAAAAAAAAAAGTATTCTGATGAATTGACATGGTTTATTCTTTAATCTTGCCACTGATTTTGGTGGATTAAAGATTTAATATTTAGTGTAAAAAAACATTTATTCCTCACACTCAGTATTAGGTAAGAAAGTAGTCAAATGGTAGTAATGGTTACGAATGTCAAACAAAGTGGTTTAAAAATTACTTTAAGGCTGTTTTCTATTTGTGTGTCAGGACCAGGTTCATGCCAGCACAGACAAGACCTGGACATTCTTTCATCACACTATCATTCATGGCAGCTCTAGAGTAATTGAGGTCATACTGTAGCTATTGATTTCCAAATGAAAGGTCTACTTCCTGAATTTAAACATTTCTTGTTATCAATGTTGAAAACAGCTATGCTGCTTAATATTTTTGTGGAAACTTGGGTAAATATTTTTATTCTTTGAGAAGAAAGTTCAAAATAATTTTTTTTTTTTTTATATAAAACAAAAGACCTCAGACTTTTGAATGGTTTTGTATATTGCCTTTTCAAGCTATTTAGTAACATTTGAGATAAATAGCAACTGCAACGTGGATTTAGTGTGTCACTTAATGTTAGCTAGCAGATAAATAAGTTAGCTATAATTGCACAGCAATGAAGTAACCATTTCAACCGGTCTCAATTTCAGCTTATGTATGTTCCGCAACACCCTCTGGATATTGTCCAGTTGAGTGGGGGCCAACAATGTAAGACTAGCCATGTTGCAGCAGCAGTTAGTCCAGCCTCATGTTTGTCTGTTGCACCAATATGACCCCTCTATTTACCAGCAGAGACTTTGATGAAGGGACTGACTAGGTAAGCACGTTACATAACCTCAGCATTGCCATCCCTTAATGGCTCATTGCAAGTTTTACCATAGCCATCTAAATAACCAAAAACATCAACAAGACTTTTGCTGTTTCCGATTGCTCATCACATTTCACAAGATTTTGAGTTTGTAACCAATTGAAATATTCTATGCATACTGCAGAGGTAGTTTATTGAGACAAAGAAATCCAAAAGTCAGAGTATTTCGGTGTAAGTTTTGCTAAGTCATGACACTAATTCGCTAATTCATGTCACTCATTATTTTTGCCTCTTTTTGCTTTCCTAATACCCATTTGAACGTTGTGGATTATATTTTGGCTATAGCAACAGTGATCTGTTTGTTATAGCGAAAAGCATTTGGCTCACTTTCATGTCCCGCAGTGCCTTGAACAAGTCAGCTTGTTTTGATAAACCAGGAGTGACAGCAGAGCCAGACCCTTCCAGCACACTCAGAGGGGTCACATTTGCACTTTCACACTCAGTTTGCACATGTAAACACACTCATATGTCAAATAAACTAGGGAAGATTATACCAATGACCATTTCATGTGTAAATTTTAGCATAGTTTTGTTTAGCAAAAGCGTGACCAGTCAGAAAGTACAACTATTGAACCGTTTAATCTTTTTTTCACCAGACATGTCATATTTGGGATTTCAAAATTGCCTAAAATGTCTGGGTTTTGGCTTTGTTTTCCTGTTGTTGTGTTCTCAGTCCTCATACATTACTGATGAAATTGAAACCACATACTAGTATGCTATTTCACATATGCTATCACATACAGGTGCATCTCAATAAATTAGAATGTCATGGAAAAGTTCATTTATTTCAGTAATTCAACTCAAATTGTGAAACTCGTGTATTAAATAATTTCAATGCACACAGACTGAAGTAGTTTAAGTCTTTGGTTCTTTTAATTGTGATGATTTTGGTTCACATTTAACAAAAACCCACCAATTTACTATCTCAACAAATTAGAATATGGTGACATGCCAATCAGCTAATCAACTCAAAACACCTGCAAAGGTTTCCTGAGCCTTCAAAATTGTCTCTCAGTTTTGTTCACTAGGCTACACAATCATGGGGAAGACTGCTGATCTGACACTTCACAAGGAGGGTAAGCCACAAACATTCATTGCCAAAGAAGCTGGCTGTTCAGAGTGCTGTATCCAAGCATGTTAACAGAAAGTTGAGTGGAAGGAAAAAGTGTGGAAGAAAAAGATGCACAACCAACCGAGAGAACCGCAGCCTTATGAGGATTGTCAAGCAAAATCGATTCAAGAATTTGAGTGAACTTCACAAGGAATGGACTGAGGCTGGGGTCAAGGCATCAAGAGCCACCACACACAGACGTGTCAAGGAATTTGGCTACAGTTGTCATATTCCTCTTGTTAAGCCACTCCTGACATTTATTCCTCACACTCAGTATTAGGTAAGAAAGTAGTCAAATGGTAGTAATGGTTACGAATGTCAAACAAAGTGGTTTAAAAATTACTTTAAGGCTGTTTTCTATTTGTGTGTCAGGACCAGGTTCATGCCAGCACAGACAAGACCTGGACATTCTTTCATCACACTATCATTCATGGCAGCTCTAGAGTAATTGAGGTCATACTGTAGCTATTGATTTCCAAATGAAAGGTCTACTTCCTGAATTTAAACATTTCTTGTTATCAATGTTGAAAACAGCTATGCTGCTTAATATTTTTGTGGAAACTTGGGTAAATATTTTTATTCTTTGAGAAGAAAGTTCAAAATAACTTTTTTTTTTTTTTTTTTATATAAAACAAAAGACCTCAGACTTTTGAATGGTTTTGTATATTGCCTTTTCAAGCTATTTAGTAACATTTGAGATAAATAGCAACTGCAACGTGGATTTAGTGTGTCACTTAATGTTAGCTAGCAGATAAATAAGTTAGCTATAATTGCACAGCAATGAAGTAACCATTTCAACCGGTCTCAATTTCAGCTTATGTATGTTCCGCAACACCCTCTGGATATTGTCCAGTTGAGTGGGGGCCAACAATGTAAGACTAGCCATGTTGCAGCAGCAGTTAGTCCAGCCTCATGTTTGTCTGTTGCACCAATATGACCCCTCTATTTACCAGCAGAGACTTTGATGAAGGGACTGACTAGGTAAGCACGTTACATAACCTCAGCATTGCCATCCCTTAATGGCTCATTGCAAGTTTTACCATAGCCATCTAAATAACCAAAAACATCAACAAGACTTTTGCTGTTTCCGATTGCTCATCACATTTCACAAGATTTTGAGTTTGTAACCAATTGAAATATTCTATGCATACTGCAGAGGTAGTTTATTGAGACAAAGAAATCCAAAAGTCAGAGTATTTCGGTGTAAGTTTTGCTAAGTCATGACACTAATTCGCTAATTCATGTCACTCATTATTTTTGCCTCTTTTTGCTTTCCTAATACCCATTTGAACGTTGTGGATTATATTTTGGCTATAGCAACAGTGATCTGTTTGTTATAGCGAAAAGCATTTGGCTCACTTTCATGTCCCGCAGTGCCTTGAACAAGTCAGCTTGTTTTGATAAACCAGGAGTGACAGCAGAGCCAGACCCTTCCAGCACACTCAGAGGGGTCACATTTGCACTTTCACACTCAGTTTGCACATGTAAATACACTTACTGTATGTCAAATAATCTAGGGGCGATGATACCAATGACCATTTAATGTAAATTTTAGCATTGTTTTGTTTAGCAAAAGCATGACCAGAATTGTCAGAAAGTACAACTGTTGAATTGTATGATGACCGTACTTCCTCTGCTCCCCAGACATGTCATGGTCGAGATTTCAAAATTGCCTAAAATGTCCGTGTTTTGACTTTGTTTTCCTATTGACATGGTCTCTACAGTCCTCATATATTATTTCTAAGATCGAAACCACATGCTAGCATGCTATTCTTATGCAGTAAGTGCAAGAGTACTAAGCGTAATGTACTAGTATGTAGTCCTGAATTTAGCATATATGTACCTGTATTTGCTTTGCTTTGAGCATTCGCTGTAGATCCTACCTTCTCGCATGCCAAGATTGGTCGATTATGCCTGCACGCTATTGGTCAAACTACTTTTCAGTCATTACTTTCAGTAAATATGAAAACAAAGTGAAAACCCGGATATTTAAGGACATTTAGCAGATGTTATGAATTACACTCCCATTAAAAGGTTTGGGGTCAGTTAGATTTTTTTCGTGAATGTTTTTGAAAAAAAAAAAGTATCTTATGCTCACCTAGCCTAAATGTAATTTTTAAAAAGCAATTCATTTCTGTGGTGACAGCTGAATTTTCTGCAGCCAAAACTCCAGACTTCAGGGTCACATGATTCTTCTGAAATCATTCTAATATCCTTATTTGGTGCTTAAAAAACCCTTTGTCTTAAGCAGCACAACTGATTTCAACATTAATAATAATCATATTTTTAAAGAAACTGATATTCTTTTATTTCAGGAATCTTGATAAAATGTTCAAAAGAACACCGTTTATTTGAAATACAATTTTAATCAAATCTGTTTACTGTCACTTTTGCGTCCTTGCTGAATTAAAAGTATTTAAAAAAACTTGCTGACCCCTTATTGTATATCACATCATGAGCTTGTCTTGTATTTCCTCCCCTCATACAGAGGCCATCCCCAAGGAGAAGCACCAGCCCAGATAAGTTCAAGCGTCCGACGCCGCCTCCATCCCCAAACACACACTTTGGAGCACAGCACCATCCACCACCACCTCCACCCGCACAGCCGATGATTCAGTCAGGCTCCTCCCACTCTGTGACATCACAGAACCCCCCCTCTCAGCCTTAATGCATGCACCGTGCGCTACCTTAAGCTAGGCCGCTTCAAGCTAGGCCACACTACTACTACAATGACAACAACTCTGTGATCCTCCACTGGGCAAAGGTTGGAAGGGATTGGAGTGAATATGGAATTAGAGTACAGTTGAACTGGGGAGCAAAAGAACTGGGAATGTGAAAAGGAAGAAAGTGTAGATGCTTGGCCCAACTGACAGATCCATAACCAGCCCCATGCCGTTAAATTTTGTTATTCTTACTGTGTTTTTTTTTCTCTAAAGTGATCAAGCTGTTTTGGGAAAGGTTAGGAAGATCGTTCGAGAGGGTTGACAGCTGCTTATGCCTGCATTTTTTTGGGGGGGGAAGTCTTTCCCCAGCCCTCATGTAATCTTATTTGTTTTAACAGATTTACTGTTAAATGTAATCTAAATTTTCCATTTAATGACTCAACGCTCAATTGGATAAATCTGTCCTCTCATATGAGTGCATCTTCACAGAGGTTGAGAGAAATCCCCGTGATCCTCCACTGGGCAAAGGTTGGAAGGGATTGGAGTGAATATGGAATTAGAGTACAGTTGAACTGGGGAGCGAAAGAACTGGGAATGTGAAAAGGAAGAAAGTGTAGATGCTTGGCCCAACTGACAGATCCATAACCAGCCCCATGCCGTTAAATTTTGTTATTCTTACTGTGTTTTTTTTTTCTCTAAAGTGATCAAGCTGTTTTGGGAAAGGTTAGGAAGATCGTTCGAGAGGGTTGACAGCTGCTTATGCCTGCATTTTTTTGGGGGGGGAAGTCTTTCCCCAGCCCTCATGTAATCTTATTTGTTTTAACAGATTTACTGTTAAATGTAATCTAAATTTTCCATTTAATGACTCAACGCTCAATTGGATAAATCTGTCCTCTCATATGAGTGCATCTTCACAGAGGTTGAGAGAAATCCCAGCACATTTGCCGTGGGGTAAAACAATTTTCTTTTGTTTTATTGTCTGTCTGTTAGTTTTAGGCTGTTTTTGTTTGTAAAACAGATGTGTGTGCGTGTGGCTTATTGGCAGCATGTAGATGGTAAAGGGACAGACAGACTGAAATGTACTGAAACAGCACTTGTTGCCTCTCTGCGTGTGTATTATAGTGGGATTATAGTGTTTGTGTGTCTGCACAGCCGTAGAGGTTTCCCACGACTGCTGGTCGGGGACCAGTCTCCCTGCTAGAATCCATACATGACCCACTACGAAAACAGTCAATACTGGTTTCTGATCAGCAGCTCAACCTCTCTCAGAGCCCTCACTGTGAAGGGAGTGCCCTGAACACTTATTCAGATGGGGAATTTTGCTTAATGCCAATGTCATATAACACCCAAACATGAACCAACCTGTTGATGCAACAAAACAAGGTACTGTTGAACAATTAACTCAACATGATTAAATGCTTGTACAAAAAAAAAGTGTTTTATTTGACCTGAAATGTGTGCAAGTTATTGAACTTCAGCTTATAAAGCTGTGGTATGCGTTTTAACCTCACTGAATATTTTTAAAGATATTGTGATTTCGAAGGTTTTTTATTTTATTTTTCAGTCAGATCCTGGGGGAAGGATTCAGAAGTCATAAGTGATAGGTCACGTTTCCTGCTATTTTGACAGCTTTTTGAGATGCACTACAGGGTTTCTGTTGAGTCCAAAAGTTAAATATTTTAAATATTTAATTTTTTACTCTTTTTTTTTAAACTCATCTTATTGTAGCCAGGTCCCCTAAACAGGTCTGTTTCTGTGAAGAAATACTTTAATTGATATATTGCTTATTGATTTGTAATGATTAAAAGGTGATGGGTTTATTTCAAATCTAAAATTTTAGAGGAAACGATGTGAAAATCATATGATAAAAACTAAATATATACTAGTTCAGTTAGTATAGCAAAATAAATAGTTCATATATGCCCTCATCCTCAAAAACCATGAAGTTTTAGTTATACAGCTGCAACAAAGGGAAACTTTTAGTCCTAACTAATGGAATTTCTAAGTACCTTACTGACTGTTCATGTGCTTCCTGGGCTTTTAAATGAGATTAAAAAAATATATATATGACCTCTTTCTGAGGGTGTAAAATTTCCATTTAGGTGGTCTTAATATGTCCTGCAGGCTTCAATTATTACCAAGATGTCATGCATGTGTTGTCAATATGAGTTATCTGCGAGTTTGGATTATGTAACGTGTAACCTCTGTTATCGGTTCGCAGATCTACAGAGGTGTGTGAACGGTAACCTGTAAAACACATTCTTTAGTTTTAATTACGTCTTTGCTGTAGCTGTAGTCGTTTGACCTCTGACCTTCCTTTGATAAGTACAGACAGACGTACATTATGTGACCCTTCATGACAGCAGCCCTCTTGAGGTGTCCGGTAATATTGCACACCTGTTTGGGACTGCACATCAAGCCCCCACCACAGTTTTCCAGATTACCAAACATCTCTCTTAGTCAAGCGCTCTTTCTCTCTCTCACACACATCCATCGAGTCGTGTGGCTGTGTGGTAATCCCTGCACAAGTATTTCAGCATAAGCTGTCCTGTGCTGCTTTCTCTCTGGCAACGGCCACTCTCACCTGGTTCAGACCAGTTCTGTCAGGCTAGGGTAGTCAAGGGGGTGTAACCGACCCTCAAGTTCTAACATTACAGTCCGATTAGAAGAATAGTTAAAGTCATGCTTTTCAGTGTGTGTTTGGGTTCTGAAAGCGCTAACATAGATATACCCATGTGTCTTCATTAACAGGTAGGGAACAACCGGGGTGCTTGTAACGATTTTCAATTTCCTTTGGTAGACCTATTAAAACAGAAATGATGAATTAATTGTATAATAATAATAATTACAAATTAGTATTAATAATATATTAGTATTATATATATATATATATATATATATATATATATATATATATATATAATTATTATTATAGTATACTTAAATATATATATATATATATATATATATAATTAGTATTATAGTATACTTAAAAATAATTATAATTCTTAGTACTAATAATGTATTACTAAAAATTAAATATAACAATTATGGAGAACTTGTCAAAAGTGAATAATATTAAATAATTTGATAATATAATTATAGTAACAAAAGAATATAATAGTAATATTTCTGTTAGCAATCATAAAGAAATGTCAGAAGTGAACAATAATTAAGATAAATAATTATATAATATTGTAATTAAAATTATATCAAATAATGTATGCTTTTAATACAATTATATAAATAAGTCACTTATACAACTTAACAAAATGTAATAATAATTTTGGTAGCAATCATGGAGAACCTGTCAAGTGTTATTAATAATTCTAATATAATTGTATAGTTTAAAAAAAAAGTTGCATTTTGAATTTAATAATGAAATGGTACATTTTGAACAAGTCCTGATATAAATTTTGTGTTGAGTAAGATGAAGACGCTAATTAAAGCAGCTCTACAGCAGTGTTGAGAGTTTCACAGCCCCGCGTCAGTGTTTGGAGAGAGCATGTCTTTTCTTACCATTCCCTCAGCTGACCTAAGCTTGATTTGCTGCTGACCTGTTTAAGGGTATGAATGGAGTGGCAAAACAAGACTGTCAACATCAGGAGATGCCGTATGTGTAAGCAAGTCAATAACAGAGAACGAGATGGAAAAGGGAAGGGAGTGTCAGGATATCACAGAGGTCGCTCAAGGTTTGTGTTCTCCTGCCACGCTAGTCAGGTTGAGTCTGCACTCCTAAAAGCGGAAGCAAAAGCTCATAGCAAACATGGAGATCATGTCACACTCACAGCTTTTGTTTTCCAGAGTTCCTGTAATTCCACAGCACAGACCTGATGGACTGCTCTCATTACTTTTCCTCTGAAAACGGGACTAATCTTTTTTCCAAGAAAAACTCCAAAAAAGCTCTTGATAAGAATGGCATTCATGATTACTTAACATTAAAGTAAATCCAACTAAACTAAATTAAACCATAAGCTATTTCTGCTAATATAACTCAATCTTCTCTGCCACTCAGACAAACTGAACATCAACATTGAGAGAAAATGAAAGCTACTACAGGAGAGATGTACAATATCAGTCAAACGTTTAGACCCACATTTGACTGATGTTTCTCATGATCTCTGAAACCTTTTTATATAGTTTTGTAGACAAATATAAACTATGTGTATGAATTTATTTACAAAACCAACATTTTAATTGAAATTTAAAAAAATAAAATGAACCAGAGAGTGAAGGAAAACAACCAACATGTACCCAGAATGCATGGGAACTACTTGAAGACTGTTGGAAAAGCACCTGAAGTGGCTACTTGTGAAGTTTTGAGAGATCGCCAAGATTGTGTAGCAGTGTTAGCAAATCAAACAGCGGCTATATTGAAAAATTAAAAACATAAAACAGTCTAACATTCTTTAGTCACCGTTTAACATACTATTTCCTTGATGAATGTTATTTTAAATGTGCAAAAATATATACTAAAGACTGAGTGGGTGTTAAAAATCTCTTGACTGGTACTGTAGATGAACTTGCTCTGTCCATCATGTCAAGCTCTATATTTTCTCATTAAGCAGACTTTTTAATCCAAATGTAATCTAGAGCCAAGGGTATGTTCCTTCCAGAAGTATCCCATTGGTTTCCCAGATCCCTGCGAGCTGCAGTCACGCTGCATAAGAAGAGATGTTGTCCAAAAAGGTGATATGAGGCAAATGCAATTAACTGTTCTGTTCTTTCTGTTTTTCTTTTTGTTCACTCTCTTTTCATGTCAGAGGGGATTACGGAGTCAGGGTGGGGGAAGACCAAACCTCTTGTTTTATGTGTGTGTGGGAACGAGTACAAGCAAAAGCCAGGAACAGGATCTCGGTGGGCTTAAAGCCCAAGCCGTCTGACCCTCATGCACTCACCAAGCACAAAAGTTCATCCGACCACCCAGACAGAGAGGAGAGATGTAGAAGGGTGGGAAGAAGTTGAATTCTAGTCCTTACTGAAGTCTAGTTCTATACGAAGTTGGGTGTGTTGCCGAGTCTAAACATGTCCTTCAATATCTTCAGCTCTGGCATCAAACAGATATTTATTTTTTATGCCTCCAAAAAAGTGAATTATAGTAACACAGAGGTCGAAGCCTATTGTGATGCCAAAGTCATATAGAATCCCTTTATTTTATTTTATTTAATTTGTATATTACTTCAAAGATGCATGGCCTGAATCAAACAATAAACTGACTGATTGCTTTTAATAATTCATTCATTAGACAACCCTGAAATGAATTCAAATGTCCAAAGATTTACTTAGAAATGTATCTACAAAGTTTCCTTTAACTAAAATATACATTTTGTCATTAAACTCACTTGCAGAATATGCATATGAAAGTAGGGATATATGTCCATCAGAGTCTCAGTATTTAAGATTGGACAGCCCGTGAACTATAAAATATCACCAAATAATTAAAGAGGTCATATGATGCGATTAAAATTTTTCCTTTCTCTTTGGAGTGTTACAAGCTCTTGGTACATAAAGAAGATCTGTATAGTTGCAAAGACTAAAGTCTCAAATCCAAAGAGATATTCTTTATAAAAGTTAAGAGTCAACCACGCCTACCTAAAACGGCTCATTCTAACACGCCCCCACATGTCTATGTCACGATGTGGGAAGATTTGCATAACACCGCCCAAATGTTCACGCAAAGAAAGAAGGCGTAACTTTTATTCTCGCTGTAGTATTGTTGTTGCCGTGCTGATCCGTGCTGGTCGCTGAGGAAATACATCAACTTCGTGCTGTGGATCGCCGGATCGGCTTTCACCGTGGACGAAGCGGAGTCCAGACCGGGTTCGTCACATGTGGTTGCCGCAAGCCCGCCGGACGCTCCTTCGTCGAATCTGCCGGCCGTGCCGTTCTCAAGCCCGCCCGCCTCCGCTCACTCTAGCCCGTCGTGTGTGACGCTGTTTCGTTGTGAAAGCGAAACTACTTTGTTTGGCCTTCCAAAAGAGGACACGACTAGAAATCAGTGGTTAAGTTGTATTTACAACACTGTTTGTCCCCACTGGATGCAACAAATGCCTCGTTTATAATGGATTTTAATGTTTATGTATCCTAGCTCTGGCCTGACAGGGCATCACAGTATGGTAAGGGGCGTAACATTTCCGTCACACGATTGAGGTATTCGGCCAATCACAACGCACTGGATAGCTGGCCAATCAGAGCACACCTCGCTTTTCAGAGGGATGAGTTTTGTAAAAATCGACGCGTCTCAAAAAGGCGGGGCATAGAGGAGAAACAATAATGTACAGTATGTGGAAAATAATGTTTTTTTTTTTACTTTAAACCGCATAAACACATTTCATCACACCAAATACACAAAATAATGTTCTTTTTAGCAGCATCATATGACCCCTTTAACATTTGTTTATTTTATTTATTAAATTAAACATTTTCTCCAGCATTTTAAAGCAACAGTATAGTTTTCCTTAGACGCAATATAAAATCCTTAAAGAATCCAAAAGCTACAGAGAATCGTCCTTTGCTTGGGCCGGTCGATCTCTCCGTGACTCACGAGTCCGGTCGGTGCGAACAGCTTCAAACCCGTTCTTTATTTCACGGGATAGAAGAGAACTTGCTGAGAAAAGTACATGCCCGTGCACTGGCTGCAATGTCCAACCTAGCATAAGTGCCTTATGAAGTGCAGCAGAGAAATGGCGTTTTAATGTTGAACGCACCTCTCCTATAGTCACTTCTCTCTGCTCCTCTGCTGGTAAGGCGCAAGTTTTTCCCAACTCTTAAAAGAACAAAACATTCTCTAATTTGAGCATATACATCCTAAATCATAGACGTGAATATATTATTATGAGATAAAATTGTTGTTAATTATTAGGTGGTGAACTGCAGTTGAGGAGAAACTTCAGCGCGCTTCCGTTGCGCCGCTCTGCGCTCGCTGGAGGTAAAGATGCATGCATCCCCGCGCGCTGCCATTGGCACTGGTTCTTCTCACGACTGCCGGATGTCATATGTGGAAATTGACGAATTTAAAGAAAACAGGGCTATAAGAAGGCAGTCCGGTCATTGGTCTCTCCACCTCCGAGGTGTGGTCTCTTTCCAGAAGCCTTTAAAACTAGGCGGCGCGCAATGCTGCGCTCGAGAAGGTATTCAGCAGAGAAGCGCGTGAGACTGGCCTGGTCTACCAGGCACGAGCGGTTCAGCGCACCGCGCTCTCCAAGCAAGAGTAACATCCACCTGCAGTAAGTCTCACAGCTTTTAAGTTTAATGTTTTAAGTTTTAATTTTCAACTTCTCTGGTAGTTGACAATAACATGCACATAATCTATATCATAGGTTTAGATTTGTTTGAATAAGCAAAAGTGAATATTTAAGGTGTCGTTGCTGGTTAACATTTCAAGCTTTCACCATTTTAAATCACCTGTTAACTTTTTGTAGTTCAATTTCTATTTTATATTCACCGTTATCGATATAAAATGAACCTAAAAAGTTACTTATTGTTGTATGAAGTTTAAATATGATATTGCAGATTATATATAAATGACATATATAGTTCCTGTAAGAATGATCGTTTTGGATAAATGATAGCATATCACACTGTAGAACACTGCTGTCACTGTGTGACATGTGAACTACACCCTATTATACTTTCTCCCATTCTTTCTGCAGGTCTGTGTGTCAAGTGAAGTCAGTGATGAGAATGGGTGCTGTAAAGAGTGAGGGTGCTTTAGATGGTGGATGGGGATGGATGATTGTGTTGGCCTCTTTCATGGCCCAGTTCCTATCCTTTGGATCCCCCCAGTCTGTTGGGGTGTTGTACCCTGAGTGGCTCAGTGCCTTCCAGGAGGGAAAAGGCATGACGGCTTGGGTTGGATCCATGGTGTCCGGTGTGGCACTCATCACCAGTGAGTACTGATCGTCTTGTGTGTGTGTTTGTGTGTGTGTGTGTGTGTGTGTGAGAGAGAGAGCGAGAGAGTGTGTACAAGTTTCCTATAAAAAGAAGCTAGTGCAAACGGCAAGAGTTCTGATGCTGTTATGCAATGCAAATCATCACACATGCTGACAAATAGGTGTTCAACGTTTTGAAAGACAAAAAAAGAGAGTGCTAAAAATGTCTTAATCAGTCATAAACATTTGAACAAGAAAAAAATTACTTTGCAAGCAAAATTGTATAATGTAGGTTTTGTTAGATTTATGCTTTAAACAAGATCAAATCAATTCACTTTAAAATAAGGTCTCCTTTGATAACATTGGTTATTGCATCAGTTAACATGAACTAACTATTTTTACAGCGTTTATTAACCTTTGTTCATGGTAACTGATAAAATTCAAATGTTTGTTGTTTTAATGGAAAAAAGACAAAATACTAAGAAAATTCATGAGATAAATTACACTGCTCTTTCCTATCAAACCTGTTTCTTTGTCCTAAGTGTCTAATCTGACATAAAAATCACACAAACATACTGCTCTTTATTCCCATAGAATGCTGCTGACTCAGTGTTCTAAAGCCCTCTTCCATGAAAAGACACGCTAACAGATAAAGAAATTATCTTCTTGTTTCCATTATGGTTGTATTTAGTCGGTCCTTGCTGTCTGCATTGCAGAGGTCAAATTGACACGTCCAGAAGAACATCTTCTAAACTTTACTTACAAGATAGAGAAAGAGGGCAGAAAGATTGAACCATAGCCAAGCAGTCTAGGTTTGGTTTGTTAGTATGGCCAAGTTAGCCACTTGTGGTAAATACCATAATCTGCTTCTCAACAGATTTTTTATAAAAAGAGCTTTTATGGCATTTTTTCCCTTTGTTTTGTAAGCAACATATATCCATTAGTGAACGGTTTGCAATTACTGAGATTAATGTTCCGAAAACAAGAACGACAGCACTCTCTCACCTTTCATGAGCTACAGTAAAAGTTCACACAGGCCGAATGTGCTTGTATAAATGTGTCTGTGTGCATGTTTGGGTTTTGGAGGTGTCAGGTTTTGTTTACAGACACTTATAGCTGTGTGGTCCTTCGTCACGGCAGGGAAAGTCATGACTGGACGGGACTGTCTGGGACATGGGTGTGTATGTGTGAGCATGAGTAGCATGTGTTTGTGTGCACTGGTCATGCTGATTCAGAAGAAGAGGGATTTACTGAGTTGTTTCTGGCCTGTGAAGCAAACACACACATATCTTATTCAGTACTGTCTAGTAGGAGATGTCTATCATGCTCTAATTGATTCCTGATCAGATGCACCCTGTGAAAGGGCAAGAGTAGATAGTTCCCCTTTCCCCTTATTATACTGGCTCCTTTATAATTTATTGTCTCATTATGCTTGATAGAGTTCTGGTTATTTTGGGTTGGATATTTCTGGTTCAGCTGTTGGTTGTCCATCCATACTGATATTCATGGTCAGTGTATAGAGCCCTAGTTTGGAAAAGTTGATATCAGTGTAGTGTATGTCAACAATCGATTGGCTGGTGCTGAGTAATCATAAGTTTGTTTTAGGGCATTTGGCAGTGGTTAGATTATATAAAGTATCCCATACCAGACAGTACATAACCTAATGAGCTGTCAAAATAAAGACTGAGAAATTATTTAGTCTGGATGGCACAAACACACACACTGTTCCCACTAGATGCTCTCCAGTGTCCAGCCATTTTGGCCATATTAGGAGCAACTCAGTGCTGAGTCATTTGTTATTTTTATGATAGATAGACAAACACATTCTCTCCACCACTATAGTACGACAGGGTCTAATTTAGTATCTGTTAAGACAGAGTTGGAGTGAGGGTCCTGTGAGGGGTCTTATAACATGGTACCAATAATTTATGGTGTAATAAATCTTAATATAAGGGTAAAAATTGTAGCAAAAATTGTACCTAACTACATAAGGCAAAGATACAACTCGAATGGATTTTTCATTGTTTGGCAAGTTTGTGGTTTGCTGTCAAATCTGTGGTGTGCATCATTTTTCTTGAACATTTCACTGTAGAACATTTTCCAGAATCATCATCTTTTTTTTTTTTTTTTTGCATTCAGTAAGTTACGGTTCTAATGATAGATAGACAAACACATTCTCTCCACCACTATAGTACGACAGGGTCTAATTTAGTATCTGTTAAGACAGAGTTGGAGTGAGGGTCCTGTGAGGGGTCTTATAACATGGTACCAATAATTTATGGTGTAATAAATCTTAATATAAGGGTAAAAATGGTAGCAAAAATTGTACCTAACTACATAAGGCAAAGATACAACTCGAATGGATTTTTCATTGTTTGGCAAGTTTGTGGTTTGCTGTCAAATCTGTGGTGTGCATCATTTTTCTTGAACATTTCACTCTAGAACATTTTCCAGAATCATCATCTTTTTTTTTTTTTTTTTTGCATTCAGTAAGTTACGGTTCCTGTTTCTCTCTTTGTAGGCCCGGTGTGCAGTGCTTGTGTGGATAATTTTGGTGCACGGCCTGTAACCGTCTTCAGTGGTGTGATGGTGGCTGGAGGTCTGATGCTGAGTGCTTTTGCTCCGAGCATCTCTTTCCTCATCTTCTCCTATGGCATTGTTGTCGGTAAGATAATAAAAGCATCATTAGCATTGATTGAATAGCAGTTTACCAGTAGAAACAGATGCATTTGTTTCTGTTCTTTGACCTATATGCCCTGTATTTATCTTCTCAGGTCATAATATTAGTAGAGAGTGATGGTATGTGTTTATGTGCAAGATTGTCAGTAAATGCTGAACAGTTTGCATAATGTCAGGGTGTGTTTGTGACAGGGTTGCTATTAATTATAATTATACAACATTTACTGACAGTTTAGAATTTGAAACCATGGTACCATCACTGTTAACAGTGCTGACTTCTGGTCATACACACCAACAAACCCTCTGAACACACACACACAGAAGTATGCTAGCCACAAAAAAATTATTGCATATTCAAGTTCAGTGGAGTTACTTTACATACACCAGAGTCATCCTAACCATAGACATAGTTGTTTTCATCCTGTTGTTGAAGTATTTTCACACCTTTGTTGCCTCAATCAGAAGTACATAATATAGGAAATTATTAAAAATTTTGCACTATTGACTCTGGCTCGTCAACTCCATGCTTACATAATTACCTACATCTCATCCTCACTGGCAGTCACGATGCTGACAAGGCCTATTGTGTATATTTATATTAAGGTTTTTCAGAATAACATTACATTTATAGTTTTAAATATGTAATTTTTTTAAATGCATAATTTTCCAGAGATTTTAAATGTGTAATTATAGTTGTGAAATGCTACATTCATGTTGAATTCAAGAATACATTTATGTTTCTGTGTTTAAGGCATTGGCTGTGGACTTGTCCATGCTGCCACACTGACCATAACCTGCCAGTACTTTGACAAGAGGCGTGGCCTAGCACTGGGCATTGTCACCACAGGTGTGGAATGTAATAAAATGTGTATTATGATATTTTATTGGTACTTTAATTTGTATTGAATAGGCATTTTTGGCTTCATGAAAATAAAGTGAAACAAATACATCAAATACAAAAATACACAAGAAGTAATCAACTTTCATTAGAAAACATAAAAAATGGTGCAGATAGCAAAAAGCAATGATTTTTATTTGATTACCTGATTCTTTAGGTTCTGTTTAGATGTTAATTATGTTCATCCTTCTCAGGTACAAGTGTGGGTGGGTTCATTTACGCCACACTCCAGAATGAGCTCATTGAGTTGTTTGGATTGGAGGGCTGTCTGCTTATCATTGGAGCGCTGGCGCTCAACCTGATGGCATGTGCTGGGCCAATGCGACCTATGAACTTACCTGGTTACTACCTAAAGCAGAGAGCTGCTCTACAGTGTACAGAGGAACCAGAACCACTCTACACCAAACCTACTGCTATTATCATTGACTCTGATCTCAAAACCACACCCGGCTCAGCCGATAACACAGCCACCATTAAGCTTTTGATCATCAAGGAACCCACCGAGCTGCAAGAGAGTGAAGAGGAAAGAAAAGGTGGGATATCGACCTGTTCAGTAGTAGCACGAGCTATCAAGAAGCGAATGCGCCCCTATGGACAGTACCTGTGCGAGACTATAGAGCTCCTACAGGACCGTGTCTTCATGGCTTTCTGCATCGCCATGTTCCTGTTCAGCTTAGGGGCGTTCCCCCCTGTTCTCTTCATGGAGGACGTAGCCCAGAGCGAGGGGCTTATCGATGGGATTGCACTAATACCCCTCGTCTCCATCGTTGCCATTACAACAGGCATCGGTAAGCTGGTCCTGGGCATCCTGGCAGACATGCAATGGGTGAACAGCTTGTACCTGTACGCCCTGACGCTGACAGGCACAGGCACCGCTCTGCTGCTCATTCCTGTGCCTAAAAGCTACATGGGTCTGCAAGTTTTGTCAGCCGCAGTTGGATTTTTCTCAGGGAACTGGTCTCTCACATCCTACATCACTACCAAGATAGTGGGCATTGAACGACTCAGTCAGGCTCACGGCATTCTCATGTGCTTCGGAGGGTTTGGAATCACCCTCGGGCCACCTGTTGTAGGTAAGAAGCAGCTAATGAACACAAGCATGGTTAAAAATGAAGACAAAAGCTTGCATGATCAGAAAAGTAGACAAGTACTAAAGAAAAATACAGAAGATATATTTTCCTTTTACTGATGTTATCTCTGTTTTTCTTTTCTTACAGGTTGGTTTTTTGACTGGACTCAGTCATATGACTTGGCATTTTACTTCAGTGGCACTTGTGTTTTAGTGTCTGGATTGTTTCTGCTCTTGTTCTGTTCCACTCTGCCTTGCTGGAACAGGATGTCAGAGGAGGGAAATTCTCCTGCAGAAGAGGGCATCAACACTTCTCAACAGCCCACTCTTGATTGTGACAAAGTAGCTTCTGTGGCTTGAACAATATCTCAAAGGTCTAAAACTGACCTTGGCCTTAACATTCTGCTGAACATGTAGAAGATTGTCTTCCTTTTCTTATGGTTTTCTTATCTGGTACGGTTTTGACAGGGGACTTCTCATGGTGCCTAACTTTTTCTTTTGTTCGATGTGATACTTTTTTGTACATGTCCCACAAACCCTGTCATTTTTGAGAGGGTATATTAATTTTTCTTAGATGCTTATAAAGACTGCCTCATTTTTGAGGCTTATATATAGCAAAAGTTGTTTGCTAGTATATTAAGTAGATTGTTTACTGAACACAAATGCTGTTTTTTGTAGATCTTGATCACTTGAATTGTGTTACTTTACTCTCCTAGATGAATGGTCTTACTGTGTTGGATGTGGATATCATCAACCTGTGAAGATACATGCTTCCATTAATGAGAACATTTGTCACTGAAAGCTGCAGAGAATTATATAATGTGTGAATGGGGTTTTTCACTGCACTTACCATGAAAAACATTTAAAAAATCCAGATCCAAAAGATTAATTTTGTTATTTATGGAGCAACAAGGACTTTGAAGTGCACTTTAAATAGTAACTGCACATTATCATCCTGTTTTTTTTTTAACAACAGTCTCCTTCAAACAGCGATTATTTGCACACACAAAAGACACATAAAACCCAGCTTGCTATAATCAGTGAAGATCTGTCACAGTAATGTAATATCTCTGAATTGTTTCTGTATTTGTAGGATTTATTTACTAGTCCTAATATTTACCAGCTGTATATGCTGGTGTGTGTGTTTGTGTTGTTAGTAACAGGAAAATTACCTTGTCATGTATACAAGACATTGCTATTGGCGTGTTCCATTTGGAGCAGTGGAAAAATAACAGGCAGACAGTGAGTGAATGAGTGTGTGTGTGTGTGAGAGAGAGAGATGCCCTTATGTATTTTTAATATGGACTGTCTGGTCACTCAGTAAACAAACCTATAAATACTTCCATGCTTTTAATATTCTGGCCTCTAATACACCCTCCCATAGCACACGGCCACAAACAAAAATTATACTGACTACCAATAATACATAGAAGTACACATATAAACCTGATTAAGTTCAAACAGAAATAAAGTTGAATTGTAAAGTCTATAATGAGAAGATGGACAGAAATCATCTTGATACACAGTTCAAAACGAAACTATATTATTAAATACAACCGAAAATACACCCATGAGAATAGGCTATCTGCATACATGTATTTTTTATATGATATTTGAATAAATATTAAAAATATAAAAATAAACTGAGCAATGGCACCATCTTTGGGATCAATGTATTAATTCAGGAGTGATGCCTAAAATTCTGAATTTTTTTAAACATTAAGCTTGATAAGCCATTTGTAAGTATTATGTTGTTATACACTTTAGCTGAAACGCAGTCTTGACACAGTCATGGCCTAATGGTTAGCGAGTCAGACTTGTAACCGAAGGTTATGGGTTCGAGTCGTTGGGGGGAGTGAATAACCAGCGCTCTCTTCCACCTTCAATTCCACGACTGAGATGAGACCCTTGAGCAAGGCACCGAACCCCCCAACTGCTCCCTGTGCCACAGCAATATGGCTGCCCACTATAATTGTGCGTGCATCTATTAATCATTTTGAGTCTAATATCATCCCATACCGACTGCTCCGGGTGTGTGTTCACAATCGCGTGTGTGCACTTGGATGGGCTAAATGCAGAGCACAAATTCTGAGTATAGGTCACCATACTTGGCCACATGTCACTTCACTTCACACAGACTTACTTTCGAGTGGAGTATGATGTTGCCAAGTAAGACATGTTCCTGGAACATATTTTGATGATCCTGGATCAACATTATTGTTCAAAAATATAGACTTAACCCAATCCCTACCCCTAAACCTAACCCTACCCATAATTTTTCCTAAAATCAGTGGGAAATGATAGCTGATTAACAAGGGTGTAGAAGCACCTAACCCTGATTGTAAGCCTGAAACAGATATTTCCAGAAAAGTTATATCTCAGTTCTGATTGGTTGATAGGAATGTTGTTCCAGGATCAACAAGGATGTTGATCCAGGAACATGTTGTACTTGGTGAAATCACGCTCACCATGTTTATACAGCACCTTGTAAAACAAGAGCTCAAAGTTTCCCACTGTTCCTCTGGTGGCCAGAAGGGGGAGACAGAGTGAGCCAGTCAGCTCAGAGAGTTTCTAATGCCAGTATTTGTGTTTTGTAAAGCTCTGATTAAGGTCATACAGTCAAAGTTAATATTCAGTAAAAACATAATATTCATATGTAAGTTTTTTAACAATAAGTGCAATGATACAAAAACAAACATATTTAATCTATATTTTACTAAAATAAGTTTGAAAGGGAAATCCAGAAGTAAAAGGGGGGGGGGGGGGGGGGGGCTGCATGCTTTTAATATTCTGGCCTCTAATACACCCTCCCATAGCACACGGCCACAAACAAAAATTATACTGACTACCAATAATACATAGAAGTACACATATAAACCTGATTAAGTTCAAACAGAAATAAAGTTGAATTGTAAAGTCTATAATGAGAAGATGGACAGAAATCATCTTGATACACAGTTCAAAACGAAACTGTATTATTAAATACAACCGAAAATACACCCATGAGAATAGGCTATCTGCATACATGTATTTTTTATATGATATTTGAATAAATATTAAAAATATAAAAATAAACTGAGCAATGGCACCATCTTTGGGATCAATGTATTAATTCAGGAGTGATGCCTAAAATTCTGAATTTTTTTAAACATTAAGCTTGATAAGCCATTTGTAAGTATTATGTTGTTATACACTTTAGCTGAAACGCAGTCTTGACACAGTCATGGCCTAATGGTTAGCGAGTCAGACTTGTAACCGAAGGTTATGGGTTCGAGTCGTTGGGGGGAGTGAATAACCAGCGCTCTCTTCCACCTTCAATTCCACGACTGAGATGAGACCCTTGAGCAAGGCACCGAACCCCCCAACTGCTCCCTGTGCCACAGCAATATGGCTGCCCACTATAATTGTGCGTGCATCTATTAATCATTTTGAGTCTAATATCATCCCATACCGACTGCTCCGGGTGTGTGTTCACAATCGCGTGTGTGCACTTGGATGGGCTAAATGCAGAGCACAAATTCTGAGTATAGGTCACCATACTTGGCCACATGTCACTTCACTTCACACAGACTTACTTTCGAGTGGAGTATGATGTTGCCAAGTAAGACATGTTCCTGGAACATATTTTGATGATCCTGGATCAACATTATTGTTCAAAAATATAGACTTAACCCAATCCCTACCCCTAAACCTAACCCTACCCATAATTTTTCCTAAAATCAGTGGGAAATGATAGCTGATTAACAAGGGTGTAGAAGCACCTAACCCTGATTGTAAGCCTGAAACAGATATTTCCAGAAAAGTTATATCTCAGTTCTGATTGGTTGATAGGAATGTTGTTCCAGGATCAACAAGGATGTTGATCCAGGAACATGTTGTACTTGGTGAAATCACGCTCACCATGTTTATACAGCACCTTGTAAAACAAGAGCTCAGTTTCCCACTGTTCCTCTGGTGGCCAGAAGGGGGAGACAGAGTGAGCCAGTCAGCTCAGAGAGTTTCTAATGCCAGTATTTGTGTTTTGTAAAGCTCTGATTAAGGTCATACAGTCAAAGTTAATATTCAGTAAAAACATAATATTCATATGTAAGTTTTTTAACAATAAGTGCAATGATACAAAAACAAACATATTTAATCTATATTTTACTAAAATAAGTTTGAAAGGGAAATCCAGAAGTAAAAGGGGGGGGGGGGGGGGGGGGCTGGATTTATTTACTAGTCCTAATATTTACCAGCTGTATATGCTGGTGTGTGTGTTTGTGTTGTTAGTAACAGGAAAATTACCTTGTCATGTATACAAGACATTGCTATTGGCGTGTTCCATTTGGAGCAGTGGAAAAATAACAGGCAGACAGTGAGTGAATGAGTGTGTGTGTGTGTGAGAGAGAGAGATGCCCTTATGTATTTTTAATATGGACTGTCTGGTCACTCAGTAAACAAACCTATAAATACTTCCATGCTTTTAATATTCTGGCCTCTAATACACCCTCCCATAGCACACGGCCACAAACAAAAATTATACTGACTACCAATAATACATAGAAGTACACATATAAACCTGATTAAGTTCAAACAGAAATAAAGTTGAATTGTAAAGTCTATAATGAGAAGATGGACAGAAATCATCTTGATACACAGTTCAAAACGAAACTGTATTATTAAATACAACCGAAAATACACCCATGAGAATAGGCTATCTGCATACATGTATTTTTTATATGATATTTGAATAAATATTAAAAATATAAAAATAAACTGAGCAATGGCACCATCTTTGGGATCAATGTATTAATTCAGGAGTGATGCCTAAAATTCTGAATTTTTTTAAACATTAAGCTTGATAAGCCATTTGTAAGTATTATGTTGTTATACACTTTAGCTGAAACGCAGTCTTGACACAGTCATGGCCTAATGGTTAGCGAGTCAGACTTGTAACCGAAGGTTATGGGTTCGAGTCGTTGGGGGGAGTGAATAACCAGCGCTCTCTTCCACCTTCAATTCCACGACTGAGATGAGACCCTTGAGCAAGGCACCGAACCCCCCAACTGCTCCCTGTGCCACAGCAATATGGCTGCCCACTATAATTGTGCGTGCATCTATTAATCATTTTGAGTCTAATATCATCCCATACCGACTGCTCCGGGTGTGTGTTCACAATCGCGTGTGTGCACTTGGATGGGCTAAATGCAGAGCACAAATTCTGAGTATAGGTCACCATACTTGGCCACATGTCACTTCACTTCACACAGACTTACTTTCGAGTGGAGTATGATGTTGCCAAGTAAGACATGTTCCTGGAACATATTTTGATGATCCTGGATCAACATTATTGTTCAAAAATATAGACTTAACCCAATCCCTACCCCTAAACCTAACCCTACCCATAATTTTTCCTAAAATCAGTGGGAAATGATAGCTGATTAACAAGGGTGTAGAAGCACCTAACCCTGATTGTAAGCCTGAAACAGATATTTCCAGAAAAGTTATATCTCAGTTCTGATTGGTTGATAGGAATGTTGTTCCAGGATCAACAAGGATGTTGATCCAGGAACATGTTGTACTTGGTGAAATCACGCTCACCATGTTTATACAGCACCTTGTAAAACAAGAGCTCAGTTTCCCACTGTTCCTCTGGTGGCCAGAAGGGGGAGACAGAGTGAGCCAGTCAGCTCAGAGAGTTTCTAATGCCAGTATTTGTGTTTTGTAAAGCTCTGATTAAGGTCATACAGTCAAAGTTAATATTCAGTAAAAACATAATATTCATATGTAAGTTTTTTAACAATAAGTGCAATGATACAAAAACAAACATATTTAATCTATATTTTACTAAAATAAGTTTGAAAGGGAAATCCAGAAGTAAAAGGGGGGGGGGGGGGGGGGG